GAAAGTTTTGGAGAAAATTTGTGCTTTTCTTTAAGGAAAAGGCCTTGAGAACGAGGTTGAATTTCCTCGCGCTATTTTTTTATCTTCCAATAACTCACAAAAACAGTTCTCATCGCCACATATCCTCAATTAAACTTGAATTTAATTTCCAGTATGAAGGGCCTCTCTTCTGTTCATGGCTATTAAGAGAAATATCTATGAACGTCTTACCTTACTACTCTTTTCTTCTAAATCACATTGTGAACACATAAAAGTCAAGTCTCCACGAGAAATTGTTTTTATTTGTCTCCAGGGAAAGAAGCGTTTATTTTTTACAGTTTGGGTTCCGGGCTCTCTACATGTCGATTCGTACTTAAAACAATCTCTAGATTAATTGCTACAATAGATTAATTAAGGATATGCAATTTAGAAAACACCTGTATTGCTGTTACGTACGTAATGTTCCGTTAAAAATTGTGCAAAATCGATTCTTTATAGTATGTAGGGTAAAGAAGCTGTCTTGTACTGAAAGTAGTGTTAATAGGTCTAAGTAGTGTATGTAGCCTTTATTGTACTGTTTTAGTGTAAAGTAACAGCAAAAGTATTGTAAAGTAGATGCAAACATGATAAAATAACTTCATTATGAAAAAAAAAAATTTTGAGAAATTTATTTGATTTCTTCTCTTTGTGAGCAATTGAGATCTTGGTCATTAACAACATTGAAATGCCCTCCTGTATTTAATTTTCTGACTTTCATGCTTTCTCACAAATAAACATCGATTAACAGTGTTGCTCTTCTACTTCATGTAATGGGTCACGGAAAACTTCATTGAATCCTTGTGAGCATGATGTACCTCTTGTGGTATATGAAATACATATTTTAAAGTTCTTAGTTTTAAACTATTTCAGTTCAGTGTGTTGACCAGTTTTTTCAAAACGCAATTCGCCCATCCGAGGATTTGATTTTGAAAAGTGAAAAGTAAAACGTAGAGCTAATTACGGGAGAATCATGTCGGAAGGATCATGTTTTGAAAACCTGGGTCTACGGCCTGTTCTAAATCGGCTGAAACATTGCGTCCGTGCTTCCCACAAGACATTACTAGCTGTCCTTCCTTCGTTATATTTGATCTTCCCCTGATGGAAGGGACAACTTTATTTTGCGTCAATGAAGCGGGGCAGTTCACATTTAAGACACTGAAGTACACGAACAGGTAGGCGAATGGTATTATGGTACCCAGATCGCACACATTTTCTCTCCTAAGTCGTGGTCGGTAAGGAGTTGGGGCAAGCGCCCGTTTCTAATCTTCGTCCTCTTCGTCACTAAAATACGAACTCTGTATAATTTTTTTTTTTGATTGGCTGCCTCCACTTGAGGACGTACCAGGATTGGTTGGATCGTCTTTGGAAGCCATTCGAGCGCATTCATCGATGACAGCACTCAGGCTGAACTCGTACGGATCTTCACCGCCATCTTCTTCTTCGTCTTCATCTTGTTCGTCTCCGTCATATCTGCAACAAAACGACATTTCAACTTTGAATACCAAACCTAACAAAGTCAGTGAATTTCCTTTCTTTACGTAACAAAGACCATTGTGTGGGTGACATGAAGACATGCACAACCCGAGAAAAGTTCAGAAAGTGCGAGTGTGCGGGCATTCACGTTTTCAAAATTTCAATACAATCAGAGACTTTGAGGGGCACGGTTTGCGCATCTTGAAACGTTTAGCCTGAATTTTTCAAGTTCGTCGTTTGTCATCTGAGTCAGTCTTCTCCATTGTCAACCATCCTTGTTCCTCTATGGTTTATTATTATTTCTTTGGTGTTTTGCTATCTTAGTAAACTACAATTTTCAGGTTTCCTTCAATTTAAAAGTAGTTTGTACCTGGCCAAAATAACTCAAAAATATTGTGACTGAGCTCCTTTCAGTATATACAAACGAAACGTAGGGAAAACTGAAGGCAAATTAAAAAGTAGTTTCGGGAATCAAGGTGTCGATATTACTGGCTTCGATAATAATGAGATAAAGGAAAAAAAACTTAAGAAAAAAAAGACAAAAACAAAAACAAAACAAAACAAAACAAAACAAAAAACAAAAACAAAAACAAAAACAAAAACAAAGACAAAGACAAAGACAAAGACAAAGACAAAGA